CCCATCCTCCCTGCATCCCATCCTCCCTGCATCCCATCCTCCCTGCATCCCATCCTCCCTGCATCCCATCCTCCCTGCATCCCATCCTCCCTGCATCCCATCCTCCCGGCATCCCATCCTCCCGGCATCCCATCCTCCCTGCATGCCATCCTCCCTGCATCCCATCCTCCCCGCATCCCATCCTCCCTGCATGCCATCCTCCCTGCATCCCATCCTCCCCGCATCCCATCCTCCCTGCATCCCATCCTCCCTGCATCCCATCCTCCCTGCATCCCATCCTCCCCGCATCCCATCCTCCCTGCATGCCATCCTCCCTGCATCCCATCCTCCCTGCATGCCATCCTCCCTGCATCCCATCCTCCCCGCATCCCATCCTCCCAGCATGCCATCCTCCCTGCATCCCATCATCCCTGCATCCCATCCTCCCTGCATCCCATCCTCCGTGCATCCCCTCCTCCCTGCATCCCATCCTCCCTGCATCCCATCCTCCCTGCATCCCATCCTCCCTGCATCCCATCCTCCCTGCATCCCATCCTCCCTGCATCCCATCCTCCCTGCATCCCATCCTCCCTGCATCCCCTCCTCCCTGCATCCCATCCTCCCTGCATGCCATCCTCCCTGCATGCCATCCTCCCTGCATCCCATCCTCCCTGCATCCCATCCTCCCTGCATCCCATCCTCCTCGCATCCCATCCTCCCTGCATCCCATCCTCCCTGCATCCCATCCTCCCTGCATGCCATCCTCCCTGCATCCCATCCTCCCTGCATGCCATCCTCCCTGCATGCCATCCTCCCTGCATCCCATCCTCCCTGCATCCCCTCCTCCCTGCATCCCATCCTCCCTGCATGCCATCCTCCCTGCATCCCATCCTCCCCGCATCCCATCCTCCCTGCATGCCATCCTCCCTGCATCCCATCCTCCCCGCATCCCATCCTCCCTGCATGCCATCCTCCCTGCATCCCATCCTCCCTGCATCCCATCCTCCCCGCATCCCATCCTCCCTGCATGCCATCCTCCCTGCATCCCATCCTCCCCGCATCCCATCCTCCCTGCATGCCATCCTCCCTGCATCCCATCCTCCCTGCATCCCATCCTCCCCGCATCCCATCCTCCCTGCATCCCATCCTCCCCGCATCCCATCCTCCCTGCATGCCATCCTCCCTGCATGCCATCCTCCCTGCATGCCATCCTCCCCGCATCCCATCCTCCCTGCATCCCATCCTCCCTGCATCCCATCCTCCCTGCATCCCATCCTCCCTGCATGCCATCCTCCCTGCATCCCATCCTCCCTGCATCCCATCCTCCCCGCATCCCATCCTCCCTGCATGCCATCCTCCCTGCATCCCATCCTCCCTGCATGCCATCCTCCCTGCATCCCATCGTCCCTGCATCCCATCCTCCCCGCATCCCATCCTCCCTGCATCCCATCCTCCCAGCATGCCATCCTCCCTGCATCCCATCCTCCCCGCATCCCATCCTCCCTGCATCCCATCCTCCCTGCATCCCATCCTCCCCGCATCGCATCCTCCCTGCATGCCATCCTCCCTGCATCCCATCCTCCCTGCATGCCATCCTCCCTGCATCCCATCCTCCCTGCATGCCATCCTCCCTGCATCCCATCCTCCCGGCATCCCATCCTCCCTGCATCCCATCCTCCCCGCATCCCATCCTCCCTGCATGCCATCCTCCCTGCATCCCATCGTCCCTGCATCCCCTCCTCCCTGCATGCCATCCTCCCTGCATCCCATCCTCCCTGCATTCCATCCTCCCCGCATCCCATCCTCCCTGCATGCCATCCTCCCTGCATCCCATCCTCCCTGCATGCCATCCTCCCTGCATCCCATCCTCCCTGCATCCCCTCCTCCCTGCATCCCATCCTCCCTGCATGCCATCCTCCCTGCATCCCATCCTCCCCGCATCCCATCCTCCCTGCATGCCATCCTCCCTGCATCCCATCCTCCCTGCATGCCATCCTCCCTGCATGCCATCCTCCCTGCATCCCCTCCTCCCTGCATCCCATCCTCCCTGCATGCCATCCTCCCTGCATCCCATCGTCCCTGCATCCCCTCCTCCCTGCATGCCATCCTCCCTGCATCCCATCCTCCCTGCATCCCATCCTCCCCGCATCCCATCCTCCCTGCATGCCATCCTCCCTGCATCCCATCCTCCCTGCATGCCATCCTCCCTGCATCCCATCCTCCCTGCATCCCCTCCTCCCTGCATGCCATCCTCCCTGCATGCCATCCTCCCTGCATCCCATCCTCCCCGCATCCCATCCTCCCTGCATCCCATCCTCCCTGCATCCCATCCTCCCTGCATCCCATCCTCCCCGCATCCCATCCTCCCTGCATGCCATCCTCCCTGCATCCCATCCTCCCTGCATGCCATCCTCCCTGCATGCCATCCTCCCTGCATCCCATCCTCCCCGCATCCCATCCTCCCTGCATCCCATCCTCCCTGCATCCCATCATCCCTGCATCCCATCCTCCCTGCATCCCATCCTCCCCGCATCCCATCCTCCCTGCATGCCATCCTCCCTGCATCCCATCGTCCCTGCATCCCCTCCTCCCTGCATGCCATCCTCCCTGCATCCCATCCTCCCTGCATTCCATCCTCCCCGTATCCCATCCTCCCTGCATGCCATCCTCCCTGCATCCCATCCTCCCTGCATGCCATCCTCCCTGCATCCCATCCTCCCTGCATCCCCTCCTCCCTGCATCCCATCCTCCCTGCATGCCATCCTCCCTGCATCCCATCCTCCCCGCATCCCATCCTCCCTGCATGCCATCCTCCCTGCATCCCATCCTCCCTGCATGCCATCCTCCCTGCATCCCATCCTCCCGGCATCCCATCCTCCCTGCATCCCATCCTCCCCGCATCCCATCCTCCCTGCATGCCATCCTCCCTGCATCCCATCGTCCCTGCATCCCATCCTCCCTGCATGCCATCCTCCCTGCATCCCATCCTCCCTGCATCCCCTCCTCCCTGCATCCCATCCTCCCTGCATGCCATCCTCCCTGCATCCCATCGTCCCTGCATCCCCTCCTCCCTGCATGCCATCCTCCCTGCATCCCATCCTCCCTGCATCCCATCCTCCCCGCATCCCATCCTCCCTGCATGCCATCCTCCCTGCATCCCATCCTCCCTGCATGCCATCCTCCCTGCATCCCATCCTCCCTGCATCCCCTCCTCCCTGCATGCCATCCTCCCTGCATGCCATCCTCCCTGCATCCCATCCTCCCCGCATCCCATCCTCCCTGCATCCCATCCTCCCTGCATCCCATCCTCCCTGCATCCCATCCTCCCCGCATCCCATCCTCCCTGCATGCCATCCTCCCTGCATCCCATCCTCCCTGCATGCCATCCTCCCTGCATGCCATCCTCCCTGCATCCCATCCTCCCTGCATCCCATCCTCCCCGCATCCCATCCTCCCTGCATGCCATCCTCCCTGCATCCCATCCTCCCTGCATGCCATCCTCCCTGCATCCCATCCTCCCTGCATGCCATCCTCCCTGCATCCCATCCTCCCGGCATCCCATCCTCCCTGCATCCCATCCTCCCCGCATCCCATCCTCCCTGCATGCCATCCTCCCTGCATCCCATCGTCCCTGCATCCCATCCTCCCTGCATGCCATCCTCCCTGCATCCCATCCTCCCTGCATCCCCTCCTCCCTGCATCCCATCCTCCCTGCATGCCATCCTCCCTGCATCCCATCGTCCCTGCATCCCCTCCTCCCTGCATGCCATCCTCCCTGCATCCCATCCTCCCTGCATCCCATCCTCCCCGCATCCCATCCTCCCTGCATGCCATCCTCCCTGCATCCCATCCTCCCTGCATGCCATCCTCCCTGCATCCCATCCTCCCTGCATCCCCTCCTCCCCTGCATGCCATCCTCCCTGCATGCCATCCTCCCTGCATCCCATCCTCCCCGCATCCCATCCTCCCTGCATCCCATCCTCCCTGCATCCCATCCTCCCTGCATCCCATCCTCCCCGCATCCCATCCTCCCTGCATGCCATCCTCCCTGCATCCCATCCTCCCTGCATGCCATCCTCCCTGCATGCCATCCTCCCTGCATCCCATCCTCCCCGCATCCCATCCTCCCTGCATCCCATCCTCCCTGCATCCCATCATCCCTGCATCCCATCCTCCCTGCATCCCATCCTCCCCGCATCCCATCCTCCCTGCATGCCATCCTCCCTGCATCCCATCGTCCCTGCATCCCCTCCTCCCTGCATGCCATCCTCCCTGCATCCCATCCTCCCTGCATTCCATCCTCCCCGCATCCCATCCTCCCTGCATGCCATCCTCCCTGCATCCCATCCTCCCTGCATGCCATCCTCCCTGCATCCCATCCTCCCTGCATCCCCTCCTCCCTGCATCCCATCCTCCCTGCATGCCATCCTCCCTGCATCCCATCCTCCCCGCATCCCATCCTCCCTGCATGCCATCCTCCCTGCATCCCATCCTCCCTGCATGCCATCCTCCCTGCATCCCATCCTCCCTGCATCCCCTCCTCCCTGCATCCCATCCTCCCTGCATCCCATCCTCCCTGCATCCCATCGTCCCTGCATCCCCTCCTCCCTGCATGCCATCCTCCCTGCATCCCATCCTCCCTGCATCCCATCCTCCCCGCATCCCATCCTCCCTGCATCCCCTCCTCCCTGCATCCCATCCTCCCTGCATCCCATCCTCCCTGCATCCCATCCTCCCTGCATCCCATCCTCCCTGCATCCCATCCTCCCTGCATGCCATCCTCCCGGCATCCCATCCTCCCTGCATCCCATCCTCCCTGCATGCCATCCTCCCTGCATCCCATCCTCCCAGCATCCCATCCTCCCTGCATCCCATCCTCCCTGCATCCCATCCTCCCTGCATCCCATCCTCCCTGCATCCCCGCCTCCTCCCTAACCCAGCTGCACCTGCCCTCCCAGCCCCATCCTCACCTGTCCCGGCCCGGCCCACCCATCCCTACGTCATCCTCCTCGCATGCGCACCTGTCTGGCAGCCGCCACGTTGACAGCCAGGAACGTGTCTTCCTGCCGCGCGGTGGGCTGCAGCACACTCCACCCGCTGTTCACGTCGATGGCCACCAGCGCCTCTGTCTCCTCTATCACCAGCGAGCCCCCGCCGGGCAGGGGCACGCTGTGGCAGGGGTATGGAGGCACAAGCAACACAAGGGAAGAGGGAAGGCGGTGCCCCGCACACTGTTCACGTCGATGGCCACCAGCGCGTCCGTCTCTTGTTCCACCAGGGAGGCACCGCCAGACAACGGGACACTGGCTTGGAAGCAGGGCATAGGAGATGGGAAGAAGGGCAAGGGGGAAGAGAGGGGACGAGGGGCGGACCATGAGAGGGGCACACACCTCACGCTGATACCTACCACTACCTTGGTCTCCTCCACACACCACCAACCAGCGGTGCATGCCTCACCAGCGGTGCAGCGCGGAGTGCAGGGCGGGCTCGACGTTGAGGGCGTCGAAGATGGGCGCCGGAGACGAGTGCAGCTGTACACGCCCGCACAGCGCCGGCTGCATGCGCTGCAGGTGGCACTCCAGCTGAGCGGGCAGGGCGAGGCACGGGGGGAAGGGGAGTGGCAACACGATGGCAGCGCGGAAGCAGCGCCTCCACCATGGGCCGGTGGCGTGAGATGGCACGAGAGAGAGAGCAGGGCGGATGGAGATGGAGGGGGGGAGGGGGGTGCGGGCAGTGATGCGCGGGAGAGAGGGGAAAGGGTGGTACCTCTTGGAGGAACGCTGGAGAGTCAACCACGAGTTGGGAGACCTGGTGGGCGGAGGAGGGGAGGGAAGAAGAGCGGGTGGGGGCCAAGGGGAGGGTGGGGTGCGGAAAGGGCGTATGGCACAACAATGGGTCGTGGGCGGTGAATGCAGCCAGCTGTGGAGAATGAGAGGCAAGCGGAGAACAACAAGCAGGAAGGGCAGGGAATGCTGCAAGGAAGGGCAGGGGGGTGGGGGGGGGCTAAGTGGAGAAATACGCTTGGGCAGCCTAGCGTATTGCGTACATACGCTAGCGTATAATACGAATACGCTGTACGCTAGCTAAGTACGCAATACGCTAGCGTATTTCTTGGGGGGCAGCCCGGCAAGAAATACGCAAAAAACGATGCGACAAATTTGTGACATGACGAAACCCCACAGGGATTTCGCCATGTCGCAAACCGAAATTTGGCTTTTCAAATCGTCAACCCAACCCCTTCGCCCCTCCCAACCACACAGCATCCCACCCAATCTGTGACTTCCAAACAACACCCAAAGAAATCCCCTTCCTCTCCCTCTCTACTCTACTCCAGCAGGGTTCAGCGCAGTTCACTCCTACGACGAAATCAGGGTACAAGTAAACTGGCGCGCTAACTTCAGTCATTTCTTCTTCCAAGCTAGTGCGACTAGCTAGCTGGTTTTTTAGCGACTGTTGCTATGTCGAACCCTCCACCTAGTCCTGGTTCCCACGGAACCGACGTGGGAACCTCCTGTGCTGCGTCTTCCTCTGACGAGCTCCTGGAGAACTCTACCCACGCTATCTTTAAGCATTTCAAGTTTAAGCATAAGGAGCACCGCAAGCAGCAAAAGTATTGGTGCAAGTACTGCCCCGTATCCTTTACCGGGACGGCCTACCGCTGCGCACAGCACATCACTAGTTGGGATGGTATGCGTAGGCGCGAGGTTCGGAAATGCGAGGAGGTAGGGAAGGAGGAGCAGGCTGCCGTCCGCGCGTTCCAAACCGCCAAAGTGCTCGCGAGGGAGGAGGCGCATAGGGCGGAGGAGTCCGCCCTCGACGCCGTTAGTGGTCGGGGAAAGCGGAAGATCACCGATTACCTGTCCGATGACGCCCAAGCGGCCAAGGCGGCGGCGGACGAGGCTATTTGCCTCCTCTTTGCCGGCCTCCGCCTTCCCGAGCGCCATGCCGACCACCCGCTTTGGCGCAACGCCGTCCGGTCCATCGCGCGCGCGGGGACCAGCTATATGCCTCCAAAGCGCGACTACGTGGGTGGTGCCGGCTTGCAGCTATGCCGCAAGCGGATTGACGAGGGATTGACGGGCGTCATGTCGAGCTGGAAGCGCCACGGCGTGACGATTGCCAGCGACATGATGACCGACAAGTGTGGCAGGCCACAGGCGAATGTGATGCTGGTCAATGACACCGGCGCAGTGTTCGTCGAGAGTATTGACTGCAAGATGGAGAAAAAGACCGGGGGATACATCGCCCGGCTCCTCCGGCCCATCCTGCAAAAGGTTGGGGTCGAGAACATCGTGGCATTCTGCACCGATGGCGGCAGCAACTACCACAGCGCCTGCCGGCTCCTCATTGCAGAGAATCCGCGCATCGAGCATGTGCCGTGTGCGACGCACGTGCTCGACCTCCTTATGGAGGATGTGGGACGGCAGGCTTGGGCCAAGGAGGTAGTGGGGCGGGCGAGCGAGCTCATCAACTACACCCGCAGCCACCATTGGACCCGACAGTATCTCAGGGGTGTGGACGGAGGGAAGGGGCTGCAGATGCTGAGGCCGGCGGGGACCAGGTTTGGGACGCAGCACATTGCTGTGTCCCGCCTGGTGGAGTTGCGGTCAACGCTGGTGACCATGGTGCTCTGCGATGCATGGAAGGCGGAGTGGGCGGTGGGCCCAAAGAAGGCAGCTGCAGAGACATTCCACGACCAGATCATGGATAAGGACTGGTGGCCAGCGGCTGAGCTCTTCAAGAGGCTGCTCCTGCTCCCGTTCAAGGCCATGAGGGCGACGGATTCGGCAACGAAAGGGATGATGGGCCGCATCTATGAGCTGATGCTTGAGCTCACTGTGAATGTGGCAGAACTGCTGAAGGAGGAGGGGGATGGGGTGCTGAGTGCGGGAGACAAGAAGGGCGTCAATGAGATTGTGAAGCGGCGTTGGGATGAGAGTATGGCTTGCCCACTGCACGTGGTCGGGCGGATTCTTAACCCGGTCAACCAGGAGGAGCGGATTTTTGGGCCGGACACGGAGTGCACCAATGTGTTCAAAGCTTTCATTGCCCGCCACTATGGCGGGGTGATGATTCCCCAGAGGGATGGCCTGCCCAAGCGTGCCACACTCCTCCTGCAGGAAGGGTTGGCCACCTTTCTGAAGTTGAGGGGCAGCTTCGGCACGGCTGAGGCCATCAGTGACCGGAAGTTGGTGAAGGAAGGAAGTTATTCCATGGAGGCGTGGTGGGAGTGGCACGGCACTGACCACCCCTTGCTCATGGCCCTTGCTTGCCGAGTGCTAACTCAGCCGGTGTCTGCATCCAGCTGCGAGCGCAACTGGGCGGTGTGGGATACTGTCCACACCGCCCGACGCAACCGGCTGGGTTCAGAAAAGTGCAAGGATCTGGTTTACGTTGCGCACAACTGGAAGGTTGTGCACAACTGGCACATGGCCGACGAGGGGGCGGGGGTGGTGTCCGGTAACATCCCGGACGCCCCCGTCCCTGCGGGGTACAGGGTGGATCGGGAGGAGGAGGATGAGGAGGGCGAAGATGAGGAGCTGCTGGACGAGTACCTGTAGAGCAGAGCAGGAGAGGGTTAGGCGGGCGGTTTGGGGGAGGCTTACCTGAGATGGGTGGTTGGCTGGTTGTTGGAGTTTGGAACCCTTGACATGCCCTTGGTGGCTTGAACTATTTATTTATTACCATGCTAAATGATGCCACATTTGGTGGGGGGAATTTGGTGCTCTGAACCCCCCCTCTTCCCTCCCCAAACAGGTTTTTTTTACCCCTGCCCGAGTTGTTTTTATACCTGCCCGCCAGAGCGTATTTCCTAGCGTATCCAATCCCATAATGAAACGTACAGCGTATATACGCTAGCGTATAATACGCTGGACGCGTATTTCTCCACTTAGGGGGGGGGGACACAGGGTGGGGGCTCGAGGGGGTGGAGAACACATGGTCGCGCCAAGGTTGGAGACTCGCCTTGGCGTGGTGCAGCAGCAGCGAGTGGATGGCGTCCAGCGCCATGGGCGTGCCCTGCATCAGCAGCGTGGGCCCCACCGCGCGCACCTCCGCCACGCTGCGCACGTGCCCCGCGGCGGCATGAGCGCGCGCCAGCACCTCCCGCCAGCGTGCCACCAGCTCCACCAGGTCCCCCGCCAGCTCGCCCTCTGCCCGCCCCACCGCCGCCTGCCGCACCTGGTGGGACGGGAGGGGGGGTGAGAGGGGGGAGAGGGGGGAGAGGGGGGAGAGGGGGAGGGGGGAGAGGGGGAGGGGGGAGAGGGGGGAGAGGGGGGAGAGGGGGGAGAGGGGGGAGAGGGGGGAGAGGGGGGAGAGGGGGAGAGGGGGGAGAGGGGGAGAGGGGGGAGAGGGGGAGAGGGGGGAGAGGGGGGAGAGGGGGGAGAGGGGGGAGAGGGGGAGAGGGGGAGAGGGGGAGAGGGGGGAGAGGGAGGGAGAGGGGGGAGAGGGGGGAGAGGGGGGAGAGGGGGGAGAGGAGGGAGAGGAGGGAGAGGGGGAGAGGAGGGAGAGGAGGGAGAGGAGGGAGAGGGGGGAGAGGAGGGAGAGGGGGAGAGGGGGGAGAGGGGGGAGAGGGGGGAGAGGGGGAAGAGGGGGGAGAGGGGGGAGAGGGGGGAGAGGGGGGAGAGGGGGGAGAGGGGGGAGAGGGGGGAGAGGGGGGAGAGGGGGGAGAGGGGGGAGAGGGGGAGAGGAGGGAGAGGAGGGAGAGGAGGGAGAGGGGGGAGAGGAGGGAGAGGAGGGAGAGGAGGGAGAGGGGGGAGAGGGGTGAGAGGGGGGAGAGGGGTGAGAGGGTGCAGTGCGGGTAATCGGAATGGAAAGGAGACGGGAGAGGGAAGGGAGTGGAAGAAATGCAAAGGCGCACAAGGCAGGTGGCAGGTAGTGGGACCTGGACGGAGAAGCACCTGGACGGAGAAGGAGCGGTTGGGCGCGAGGCGCGTGACGACAGCCTGGATGCGCGCTGCCTCCTCCGATGACACGCCTCGCGGCATCACCAGCCCCGACCCCCGCAGCACCAGCCGCTGACGAGGGGGGGAGGGGAACAGGAGCGACAGGGTTTGACGGCACTGAGGGGTTTGAGGGTGCTCGGGGGTGCGTGCAGACACTGCTGTGCAAGAGCTTTCTCTCACCATGCAGCATGGTGGGCACTCACAAAGCAGCGGCCTGCCAGCACGGGGAAAGCCCGGAGCACGGAGTCCTTGCCGCCGATGGGCCCTCGCACCACCTGCACCAGGATCAGCATCCCTGCCCGCACCTCCCCCCACTCCTCAAACTGCTCCTCCTCCTCCTCATCCTCCTCCTCCTCCTCCTCCTCCTCCTCCACCTCCCTCTCCTCCACCCTCTCCTCCATTCTGTCCCTCGCCTCCTCCCTCACCCCCTTCCCCCCCATATCGCCCCTCTCCACCGACCCCGCTCCTCCTCGCACGCGCTCTCTCGCCGCCCGCCTCGACTCCATGAGCTGGCGCCACGTCAGCGACCACGCAGCGGAACGTCGGCTCCTGGGCTGACCTCTGGAGGCGGGGATCACTCGCAGCCGCCCGCCGCCCAGCCTGCCGCCCGCCTGGTAGGGCGCCATGCCACCCCCCACCAGCCCACCCCCCAGCAGTGCACCGCTTGTTGACTCATCCCTCGCTGATTGGCTGCGACTGCCAGCGCCCATCCACCCATTCCCCCCTTCCCCCTCTCCCCTCACCGCCCCTCTTTCTGCCCCCCCTTGCCTGCTCCGCCCACTTCCCTCCCTTCCGCTTCCCCCCAAGCCTTCCCCCCAGCCCTTGCTTCCAGCGCCCTCCTTCCCCCGCTGCCCCTTGCTGCTGCTTGCCCCCCGCTTCCTCCTCCCCCTGGCGCTGGCAGGGGGGGCGGGGGGGGAGGGGGGCAGGGGGAGGTTGAGCTGCTGGGAGAGGAGGGCGGAGTAGCGCCGGCGGGGGGAGGGGGAGAGCGGCAGGGGCAGGGTGGCAGCGAGGGAGAGCAGGCGCGGGCGGTTGAATGGCCGCCGCAGGGGGGGAGACTGCTCCTGCCGCCTCTCCTGCTCCTGCTGCCTCTCCTGCTCCTGTTGCCTCTCCTGCTGCTGGCTTGTCTTGAGCTGCTGCGGCTGCATCATTGCCTCCTGCTCGGCCCTCTCCCTCCTCTCCTCTCCCTCCCCTTCCTCCCCTTGCTCCTCATTCGCCTCGCTCTCTTCGCTCTCCTCGCTCTCCTCCTCTGCAGCATCCGCGTCTCTCCTGCTCGCACGCCCCTTCCTCTCCTCCGACCAAGTGCTGCCGCTGCTGCTGTCAGCGCTGCTGCTGCGTCTGCTGCTGCGAAGGGTACTAGTGAGGGCAGCACAGGGGGTGCGGTCAGCAGGAGAGCGGCGAGGGGTCGGCGGTGGAGGCGGAAGGGAGGGTCTGGGGTTGAGCGACACAGGGGTGGTGGGAGGCACGGGGGTGGTAAGAGTGCGGAGGGGGGCGGTTTCAGCAGACAACGCCTCAAGAGGGAGGGAGAGGAGGGAGGGGGCTGGGTGGGGAAGGGGGTGTGCGGATGCGAGGGGGTGGGGGGTGGAGGGCGGGGGTGGGGACGGCGGGGATGGGGCAGGAGGGGGAGCGGGCGGGCGTGCAGGGAGAGGGAGAGGGGTGTGGACGCATGGGACGCCAGGTGCTCGTTCGATGGTGCCTGGTCTCTTGACAGTGTTTGTTCCTTCGACAGTGTTTGGTCGTTCGGGAGTGGCTGGTCGTCCGGCGGTGTTTGGTCGTTTGGAGGAGTGTGGGCGTTAGAGTCGTTGGTGTGGAGATGGGAGCTGGTCTCTGCCGCCTCTACCACGTCATCCCCTGCCCACTCTCCCTCCTCTACCACGTCATCCCCTGCCCACTCTCCCTCCTCTGCCTCGTCATCCCCTGCCCACTCTCCCTCCTCTACCCTCCCATCGTCCACCGGCTCTTCACGTGCCTTCTGCTCCTCTTGCCCATTCGTCTCCTCCTCCTCCCTTTCCTCCCCATTCTCATCCTCCTCCTCATCCTCCTCCTCCTCGTCCTCCTCCTCCTCCCACCGCTCATGACCATGTTCCTTCCGCTGCCGCTTCTTCACCTTCTTCTTTCGCCGCCTCTCATCAGTTCTCTCCCTTTCGTCCTCCTCCCTTTCGTCCTCCTCCCCTTCATCCTCCTCCCCTTCATCCTCCTCCCTTTCATCCTCCTCCCCTTCATCCTCCTTTGCATCCTCCTCCTCTTCTTCATCCGTCCCTCGGTCCTCAGTCCCACCCTCCTCAACCCCCTCCTCAATATCCCCCTCCTCAACCCCCTCCTCAATATCCCCCTTCACCTGCTCCCACGCCTCTCCCTCGTCCTCACGCTCTCCTAAGACTTCCCCTTGCTGCCACTGCGTGCCACCAGCACCAGCACCAGCACCAGCACCAGCTCCAGCACCAGCACCAGCACCAGCACCAGCATGAGCATCATCTCTGCTTTCGTCCTCTTCCTCCTCCTCTTCCTCCTCCTCTTCCTCCTCCTCTTCCTCATCCCCTTCCTCTTCTTCTTCCTCCTCTTCTTCTTTCTCCCCATCTTCGACTTCCGCCTCCTCTTCTGCTATCTCCTCCTCTATACCTTCCTCCTCATCCTCCCACTCACGCTCTTCATCCTCCTCTTCACATTCCTCCCCCTCCCCTCCACCATCATCATCACCATCATCATCATCATCATCATCATCATCATCATCATCATCATCATCATCATCATCATCATCATCATCATCATCATCATCATCATCATCATCATCATCATCATCATCATCATCATCATCATCATCATCATCATCATCATCATCATCATCATCATCATCATCATCATCATCATCATCATCATCATCATCATCACCATCACCATCACCATCACCATCACCATCATCATCATCATCATCCCGCTCATCCTCGTCCGTCGCTTGCTTGCCTGCCAGCGCCACCACCCCTGCCACCCCTCGGCGCATCACTGCACCCCCATCCCTCCCCACTCGCCCCTCCCCAGCGCCATGCCATGCCCCGCCCGCTATCAAGTACTCCCTCCCCCCCGCTGCAACGGCCTCGCCAACTGACTCTGCACCTGCCTCGCCAATGGAGTCCGCAACTACAACCGCGCCCAAGCCTGCGCCCATGCCTATACCCATGCCTGCATCTGTCTCTGTGCCTGCGCCTGCCAGCACGGCCGCCTCGCTCCACGCGCGGGTGAGCGCAGCGCCGCCGTCCCCGGTGGGCGGGAAGGTGAGCGGGCGGTCGTTGTGCGCCAGGTTCAGCAGCGAGGGCGCCGCGCCGCCAATGTCCACAAAGGCGGCGGACATGCCGGGGTGCAGCGAGCGGATGACGCCCAGGTAGATGTCGCCCACGCGCACCGCCGAGGGCGCACGAGGGGCGGGGGGAAGGGGGCAGGGGAAGGGGCTGCTGGGTGCAGCGGTGGGTGCAGCGGTGGGCGCTGGTGGTGGGGCGGGCGAGGGGACAGGTGGAGAGAGCGATGCATCAGGAGTGGGTAGGGAGGGAGGGAGAGGAGAGGAGGGGAAGGCGGGAGGGGCGAAGGCAGCGAGTGAGGGTGGAGCGGTGGTGGCGACGATGAGCTCCACGAGGCGGCCGTCCTCCAGCACGGCCACGCGCTGCAGCCCCACTGCCGAGCAGTTCACGTAGATCGCCACGCCCGCCGCTGACGCAACTGAGAGCGGTGGGGATGTGAATGATGGGGACGCTGGTGCTGGTGCTGGTGCTGGTGCTGGCGCCTGTGCGGATGGTGGTGTTGCTGCGGGCGGTGCAGCGGAGGAGGAGCCCTTTGGTGGATCTCTCTTACCGCGCCCGTTGGCCCCATGGGCGTCAGCAGCAGCGGCGGCCTTGAGTGCCTGCAGCATGTCGGCGGACACCATCCCCACCGCGCCCCCTCCCGCCTCGCCCCTGCCCTCTTGGTCTCCCACCGCGCCCTCCCTCGCCCCACTCCCCTTCTTCCGCCTCCCCCCCCCACCCTCCATTGCCCCTTGTTCCACTGCTCCTTCTGCCCCCACTGCCTGCACCAACCCCTCCTCCTCTTCCTCCTCCTCCTCCTCCTCCTCCTCCTCCTCCTCCTCCTCCTCCTCCTCCTCCTCCTCCTCCCCCGTCTGCCGCACCACCTCCGCCCATCTCTCCCTCTCCTCCTTCTCCCTCTCCTCCTTCTCCCTCTCCTCCCTCGCCCTCCGCTCTGCCTCGCCGCGCGCCTCCTCCTCTCGCTGCTGTGCCTCCCGCACAGCAGACAGCGCCGACACAGCAGCCATGCGCAGCCGCCATGCACCGCTGCCGCTGCTGCTGGGGGTGCTGGGGGTGGTGCTGCCGCTGCTGTTGCCACTGGGGCTGTCCTCGCTGCTGCCAGCACTTGGACCAGTCACGAGAGGGCCACCATCCAAGGCGCCTGCGCTGCCTGCTGCCCCCCCTGCCCCATCGCCCTTGCCCTTGCTTCCTCTTGCCACGTCAGACGCCACGCGAGCTCCAGTGGCCACGTCATTCCGTCCCAGCCTTCCCTTCACACGTCCAACTCTCCACCTGCCCTGGCTACCCACCGCGCCCCACTGCCCTTCACCCTCCTCTAAATCCTCTTCCACCCCACCCTCCTCCCACTCCTCTTCACCTCCCTCCCCCCAATCTCCTTCCCCCTCTTCCTCTTCCCCCTGCTCGCCCTCCCCACGTCCACCTGCCACGCCCTCCCTCGCGCCCTCCTTCACGCCCATTCTTCCGCGCGCCGTCCCTTCCTCACGCCGCACCACCACCGCTCCTACACTTCCTCCCGCCAAGCTCTCTCCCCCCCTTCCCCCCTCCCCCTCCTCACTCCCCTGGCCATCCCCTCTCCCAGAGCTCACTGCGCCTTCCCCACTCTCCGCCATTCTTCTGTCCCCCGCCCCAGCCTGCTTCCGCAACCGCGCGCCCCTTTCCGCTTCCCCAGGCCAGTCCTCCTCCAAATCCCCCTCCACTTCCCCCTCCACTTCCGCCTCTAAACCTCCGCCTCCGCGCCATGAACCCTCCGCCCCCTGTGCCCCCTCCCGTTCCCCCGCTCCGCTCCCTGTTTCCCCCTGTACTGCGCACACCTTCCGCCATCTCCGCTTCCCCGCCCCGCTTTCGTGCGCCAAGGCGGAGCTTCCGCCGATGCGACCAGAGGAGGGGAAGCCAGACAGCAGGCGCGCGGCAACCACCTTCTGGGCATCGTGCCTGATTGGCCGCAATTCGCGGCGATTTGCGCAAGAGGCGGAGAGGTGAGGTACTAGAGGGGTGGCCGCGGCGACAGCGTGGGGAATGGGAATGGGAATGGAGATTGAGCAGTCCATAGCGGCGTGGGACGCGCGGGGAACGGGCGGAGGGCGCGCCACGGGCATGCCTGCGACGGCTGGTCGGCGCGCATACTGCAATCGGCGCGCTTGAGCTGCTGGCTGACTGTGATTCGCTGGGGAGGGCGCCGATTGATTTGAGTGTGATTGGTGGGGTGGTGGGGCAAAACGCTCCTAACTCGATATGGAAAGGATCTGAAATCTGCAAACATCCCTATAAATTCAGATTGGTACACTTTCGTATTCAGTAAAACAAATCAAAAACTGTCTCAGCGAGTTTCCCGACAGTCGTCAGCGTTTTCGGCGGTTCCGTTGTCTCTCATGCCGTCGCAAAAGTTCGCAGCTGATCCTCCTGCCACACCGATCAGACTTGAGCCAAGCACTTGATCATCGTGCGTGCTTCACCCGTTCTCTTCACTCGAAGCATGATGCCTTTCTAGGTTGATCGTTAGTGGTGCCGCATCCACCCACGAGGTTAGCCGACGCACATGATCCACCGGCCTCCGCATGGCTGGCGCCGCGCCCCGACGCGCGATTCACTGATGCCTCGCGCCGCGCCCTCCTGCACGCCCTTCCGCCTGCTCGCCGTCGCCGTGCTCTCGCTGCTGCACCTCCGCCTCTTCCTCGCGCGCTACTTCCCCCACCCCCCCGCACCCTTCCGCGATTGCCCCGATACCGCCGCGGACGTCGCCGCGTTGCGGTCAACCCTCCGCAAGTGCCAGGGGGAGCTCGTGCGCCGCCGGCAGGTTGCGCGGAGTGCTTATAACGATGCCTCGGCGGCCGGAGAGGATCTGGACGAGCGGTGGCTCGCGGAGAGCGCAGTCTCCGCCGTGACTCTCGGCGCTGGGGCCGGCGGGGAGGGCGGCGCAGGTTTGCTTTCCGCGGAGTACGCGCGGAGGCGGGACGCGCATCTGACTCGCTTGCGCGCGGACAGGCTGAGCGTGTGCGGCGCGTCTGACGCGGAGCTGAAGCAGTTCCTGCGCTTCTCTCCGCACGCCACGTGTCCCGACGACTGGGAGCTCGCCCACCGCCTCCGCTTCTCCGACCACTGCCACGTCATCCCTCCCCGCGCGTGCCTCTCCGCCATCCCCCCTGACCCCGTGGAGCCCCCGCCACATCCGGAGGCGCTGTGGACGCCGCTGGACGGGCGCAGCGTGCGGTGGGAGCGCTACGGCTGCGCTGACGTGGCGTGCATCGAGCGCAAGCTGGCAGCCTTTGCTTCAGCCGCTGCTGCTGATGCTGCAGCTGTAGCGGCTGTAGCTCGAGAGGTCAACTCAAGCCTGGACCCCCTACCCTGGGAGAGACGCGAGGGGGAATGGAAGGAGGGCGGGAGGGGGAAGGGGCGGAGCGGGAGACAGGGTGGGGGGGAAAGGGGAGCAGAGAGGGGGAGCGGGTGCGACAGGGACGGGTGGGCTGCTGGCGGCGCATGCTTCCAGTTCACACGACCCTCCGCCAGCACTGGCAGCGGTAGCAGCGGCAGCAGCCCGCTGTCCCGTGGTGCACATGGCAGGGGCGGGACGGAGGGCACTGGAGAGGAGTTCCACATCCGCCATCTCATGCGCCTCAAAGGGGGCGGCCTGCGACTGGGGCTGGACTTGGGCGGCGGAACAGGGCAGTTTGCTGCCCAGATGGCGCTGCACAATGTGACGGTGCTCACTGCACAGTCCAACGTGATTGGCCACAGTGACGCCTGGCAGTGGCCCTCAGGCAATGCTGCTGCTGACGCTGCCGTTACCACCAGCATCGGGGGCAGCCGCAGCAGCGGTATGAGTGGTGCCAGTGGCAGCAGCAGCAGCAGCAGCAGCAGCAGCAGGGTGGCAGTGCCATTCCAGGAGGCCCTGGCGTGGCGGGGCCTGTTGGGTCTGGACATGCCTCTGACGGCGCGCCTGCCGCTGTTTGACGCCTCGCTGGACCTCATCCACGCCTCTGGCACCACAGGCCCCGCGCTGCTGCAGGGGGTGGACGCCCTGCCGCCCAGGGACTTCCAGCTCGCATTGTTCGACTGGCATCGTGTGCTGAGGCCGGGCGGCATTCTTTGGCTGGAGGCGATAGAGCACAGTGCGGATGCCATGGCGCTGTTCGAGGCAGCGCTGGAGATGCTGGCGTACCGTGCTGTGTATGTGAGGAAGCTGGATGCTGTGGTGGGGGGGGCACGGCACAGGCATGTGCAGAGACTGTGGGTTGTCTTGGAGAAGCCAATGAAGGGGATGGATGCGGACAGTTTGGGCAGTCGTGGGAAGAGAGGGCGAGCAAGCAGACAAGTGCACTCATTTGATCCAAATGTTCTTACCTTGATGAGCTAGCTATATGTCAAACATGTTTATCTACAATGTTTGTATAGACTGTGTTGGGCTGAAAAAGCCCTTGGGATCTTTCCAGAGACAAAGTCCCAGCTGTGGAGACTTGAGACTTTGAGTAGTGCAGCGGAAGTTGAGGCAGTTGAACCCTTGTACTAGTATGTGAGAACAAGTGATAATAAAAAGGCAAACATACAGCAATATATAGAAGATAAGAAACAGTTGTGGAGTACAGTTGCAGTAGCGGTTTATCGAGTCGTACAGCGACTCGATTGTCGCTTCGGTTACCATCCGTGCTGTTGTAACGGTCAGTCGCAACCTCCAGTTGCGACCCTTTGAGTCCCAAACCCTTCGTGTTCTTTGTCCGCCCCCTCGTGTAACCTCCGTTGACTCGCGTACCCCTTGCAATCTTCCTCGATTGTAGTGTTACACTTCAGAAACGCTTAAGTCTTTTGATGTACTTTCAACACTCCCCTTCGTTTCTGGAGTGCTGACTTGTTCAGGTCCGATGACGTTTGTTTGTCCGGTCAGCAAGATGCAGTAGTCGAATTTTGCTTTCGCCAATTTCTTCGTCAAATAGTCTGCGGCCATTTCTGTTGTCGGGCAGTAACTGAGTTGAAGTCTCCCTTTCGCGATTTCATCTTTGACGAAGAAGTACCGCAGGGCGATGTGTTTGGTTCGGTTGGCGAAGCCGTCCTTGTTTGCGATTTTGATCGCAGATTGGTTGTCGCAGAAGAGTGAGAAGGCGGGCAGGGTCGTGATCTTCGCTTCCTCGAGTAACTCTCGCAGGTAGAGTCCTTCCTTGGTCGCAGTACAAAGGGCGATGTACTCTGCTTCAGCCGAGGATAGTGCGATTAACTCCTGCTTGCTCGACTGCCAGGAGATAGTTCCGATGGGTTCTAGTCGGTAGATGTAGCCCGTCCTAGATCGTCGATTTTCCCTGTCTCCCGCGTGGTCGGCGTCGACGTATCCGAGTAGTTGTACGGACGTGTTGTCGCTTTGCTGTAGGTAAGTCCGATCGTCGGCGTGGAGACGAAGTAGAGTAGTGCCCGGTTGAGTTCCTCGAGATCTTCCTGTTCCGGTTGCTTCAGATGCGTCGCTAGTTGACTCGCACTATAGGACAGGTCGGGTCGGCAGGTGACTGCTGCGAATAGTAGGCAACCGAGCTTCTGTTGATACTCCTGGATTTGCTTCGCGGGGAGTTTTGCGGAGGCGCTGTTGTTGTTTCCGTAGCGGTAGGGAGTCGGGACCGTAGTCGGCGTCAGTCCGAATTTCTTCGCGACAGTGCCTGCGTACTTTCCAGCGTGTAGGTAGAACGCCGAGTTGTCTTCGACGACATTTAGTCCCAAGTACTGGGTCACTGAGTCGGACACCGTGAGCGTCAGGTCCCCTTTCAGCTCCCCTTCGAACCAGGTGACGATGTCGGTGGTAGAACCGATGTAGAGCAGGTCGTCGACGTAGACTATGAGCAAAATGTAATCTCTTCCCTTCTGCAGTCGGTACATGCCTTGGTCATGTGGTAACTGTAGGAATCCGATTTTTACGAGCCGGCCGTGAAGGTGCTGCTGCCAGAGCCGTGGGGCTTGCTTGATCCCGTAAAGGGATTTTTCCAGCTGGCATACTTTTGAAGGGTCGTCGATGAATCCGTGGGGTTGTTCGACGAAGATTTCGGCGTCCACAGGTGCGTACAAGAAGGCGTTTGCGACGTCGATTTGCCGTAGTGGTAGTTTCTTCGTGGCCGCGACGGCGAGTAGGATGCGCAGGGAGGTGTGACGGGAGACTGGGGCGAAGGTTTCTGTGTAGTCGGTTCCGTATCGTTGGTCGAAACCTCGTACGACCCATCGCGCTTTAAAACGTTCGATGGAGCCGTCCGCGTTGGTCTTAATGCGGTACACCCATTTCCCCGAGAGAATGTCCCTCCCGTTGGTGTTGGTTGTCGGTACTAACTTCCATGTATTCCGGTCTTGGAGGGCTTTTAACTCTTTTTCCATTGCTTCCTTCCATTCCGCCTTATGTTCCCCCCCCAGAGCCTGCGACAGGGTCGATGGCTCGCGCGGAGAAGGCGGCGGCGGGTGCTGGACGGAGACCCATAGTCCTAGGATCTGCAGTCCCGTGGCTGTGTGTCGAGGGGAATTTTCATTCCCGGGATAAGCTGCTTCATCACCGTCTTCAGGATCGGGTAAGAAGTTTGGCCCGATGCGTTCGGAAATATTCGAGTCGACGGGGTGTGGTGTAGCGTAGCCTTGGTCAGCGAAGTGGTAAAAGGTGTCGAGGTTGTTGCTATCGAGGGGATTATCTTCATCGAGTGGAACAGGTACGGAGCAGTAGGGGAGTGGTCCGGCAGCCTCCGAGGCTCCAGGGACGTCTTCTTCTGCTGCGTCAGCCTCGGCAGCATGGTCAGCGAAGGAGCGAAGGCCCGCGAAGCCGTCGGTGGGGTCGTCTGAGTTGGCAATGTTGTCCAGGTAATGCTGCAGCGTCAGTCGCTCGTAGAAGATAACATCACGTGATGCCACCGTATTTTTGTCTTGTATGTCGAGAATCTTCCACGCGTGAAAATGTTTGGCGATGCCGAGGTGTATTCCCCACCGAGCTCGTTGAGTGAAGCGTCCTGCTCGAGCTGTGTGGGGTCTGTATTGTACCATGCAGCCGAAAACTCGAAGTAATTTTGTGCTGCCCCTTTTTCCCGTCCACAGCAGGTGTGGTGATGCGTTGTTGGGGAGCGATGACGAGGACAACAGGTTGTGCAGGTGGACTGCATGTGTCATCGCGTCTGGCCACAGTGTGTTGGGCAGTTTCATTCCCAGGAGCAGCTTTCGCATTGTCGTCTGCAAGGTCCGATTCATGCGTTCTGCGACCCCCTGCTGCTGGTGAGCGTATGGTAGGGACACCAGGCGCCTGATTCCTCTTTCCGCCAGATAGGTCCTGAAGCGTTGTGACTGGTATTCCAGTGCGCCGTCTGACTGGAAACTTTTTAGCTTGGTTCCTGATTCCCGTTCGGCGATGGGGAGCCATGTTGTGAAGGCGTCGAAGGCTTGATCGCGCGTCTTGAGGTTGTAATGCCAAGTGTATCTTGTTGCTGCATCGACGAAGGTGATGACGTAGTTGAAGTCGGCTTCCGTGTCGTCTCGAGGCATGTTCAAGATGTCGCTGTAGACTTTTTCCATCGTTGCATATGCAGGCGCGCTTGGATTATGATGTGATGGGAAGGGTTGATGAGGAAGATCTGCTTCGGGGCACGTGAAGCACCGTGCGCGAGGTCGTCGAAGTTCTTGGCCGTTCGTTGTTAGGAGGGCGTTGCGTTCTAACACTTCGGCTTGGATGGTTTGTAGTATTGTACTATTTGCAGGGTGCCCGAGGCGTTGGTGCCAGATGTCGTCGGGAGCGCGATGGCCGGGTGAGCGGTGGTATATGTCGGCGTTGGAGAAGAATGCGACGACTGTGGCGGGACTTCGACAGACTTCTCGTGTGATGGGCATAAGTTGATCTGCTTCGGTTGGCGGTCCTCGGACTGCCGGTGGTGGTACTCGGCTTGGTCCTGCTGCTGCTACTGCAGGTGATGGTTGGGACTGGACGCTTGTTGGTACTTGCCGTTCTTGTCTGATAACTGCTAATGCTCGTGTTCTTTCTGCTGCAGGTATGGTGTTGGAGTGCCAGAAGCCGTCACTGTCGAAGTCGGGATCAAGATCCGGCGGGTGTGTCCAGGCGGCGAACGATACGATACCGTCGCTGTCGGCAGTACCGCGGTCGGGGACAAAGTCCAACACGAAGACACCGGACTTCAGGAGGGCACGGCCTATGAAGAGGCCGCCCTTCCCGTGGTAAAGCCGGAACTCGTTGGAGAAGGAGTCGCACTCCAGGTGAATCCCCTTGGCCATTAGTTGGCTTACGCTTAGTAGGTTGTATCCCAAGTTGTCGACGATGAGTACTTTGTTGAGCTGAAGTATTACGTTTGTCTCCATGGATTGCAACTGAACCACGCCTTGTCTGTTTGTCTTCAGGTTTTCGTTGTTGGCGACGGTGATGACGACGTCGCGGTTGAGCCGTTTTTCCTGTTGCACGAAGCGTCCCGAGGAGCACATGTGTTGACCGCAGCAGCTGTCCAGGAACCAAGTGTTTCGTCCGGTTGGTTCGGCGTTGGCGACCGCAGCGTACGTCGGATTGACTTGAAGTCCTTGTGAGCGTGGTGGCGGGAGCTCTTCTTCGTCTGGCGCGTAAGTGGGTGGTGAGCCGGGTGCACAGTTGTCGATGTGTACCATGCAATTGATAATGTTTGGTGTCTGTTGTGCAGATGTTGAAGAGCGCCTTGGGGGACTTGCTTGGGTTGAAGCAACTTGTGGGTCTGCTGGACGGTAAACGCGAGGGCGGTTGCAGTTGACCTTGGAGTGCCCGGAAGTCTGACAGTTGTGGCAGAACGGCGGCACAAAGGTAGTCCCTCTGTTGTCGCGCTCTTGCTTGCTGCGTCGATTGTAGGTGTTGTCGTTTCTTCGTTGAGTGTAGAAGACTAACTGCTGCTGCTTCCTTGGTTGCCTTTCTTCGAACAGGTCCATCTCCTGTTGTTCAGCGTGAAGCTCGGCGCAGAGGTGCATCTCCGAAATTCTTCCGTGGGCGCGAAGAAGTGATCGTGTGGTTCTCCATTCTGGCCCGAGCCCGGCGAGGACAAGTGTCACGAAGCTTTCTTCAGTGATTGTTCCTCCGCACCGAAGCAGGCGGTCGCGGAGAGTCTGGCATCGACTCATATATTGCATTGCCTTTTCCCCGGTCTTCATCTGTATTGTTGTCAGTTGTTGCATGAGTCTGCTTTGCGTCACGCTGTCGTTTGCTTGATAAAGGCACTTGAGATGATGCCATGCGAGTTCCGCGGAGTTTCCATAACTCCGATATGTTCTGATGCTCTGCTGTTCTTGTGGTGACAAGTTCCGCAGGAGGACTGTATACGCCAGCAGCGGCTGATACGTGAAGATCTCTTGCTCCTTTCCAGTGCCGTTGCTTGGAAATGGCAGGGACCCGTTGAAGTATCCCAGAAGATGCGCGGCCTCCATCAGCAGCTCGAACTCGAAGCTCCAGGTAAAGAAGTCGTGTCCGTTGAACGGTGAGGATGTTTGTAACTTAATAACGTGTGAGAATTGAGCCTGAAGACTGAGAATCTCGTTTGGTGTTTGTTGTGATGCAG